GTGGTCACCTCACACTCTCATCTTTCCCATCTCTTTACAAGGCAAAAATTGGGAACTTCTTAAATTAGTCAGCAAGTTGGTCAAATTGCTCCCCTACTCGCGTAGTAGCTATTGGTTTATTTTTCTTACTCATATTTGAAGAAACCATCATTATTCATTCATGTGACTAGATTTTACCTGAAAATAAACAGTGACATATCCTCATGGGAAGAACAGAAGGATGAACTTCAATTGTTGAACCATGCCTCATTAAATTGGTATTTCTAAATCAGAATCTCTCTTGGGTCCTGTTTAATGGAAGGCACACATCAACTTTTCTCTTGGTTCCCAGAGTCACAAAAATTCAGTCATTTGAAGGCAGCCATGGCAAATTCCATGAGACCTGACAGGGTGCAGTCAGGCCACTGAGGTCCCTGGGAATTAATGTCAGGGTTTGGGTACTTCAAGGGTTTCCTTCTTGCTCCTTGAGTGACTCCCACTGGGTCTCACAGGCAGGATAGATTTTGTTGGACACTTGCACAGCAGTAGAATGGTGGGGGGGGGGCGGGGATCTTATCACCAAAGGGGGTTTTGATTTCATTTTGGATGGAGAAGCATTTCTTCTTTATCTCTAAGGATATATGTTAAACAGATTTTTTTTCCACGGTCTGTTTCCTGACTCTAAGCTTGAATCAAGGACAGAAAGGAGACTGAGCTACTTTAAAAAACCTTTTCCTCTTTGAAGAAAAGTAGAGGGGTGGGCAAAGGTGGGAGGGGGACTGAAGAAAGGCAGAGAAATGTGACTTTGAATCAATTCACTGATAATTCAGAAACTGAAAAGGCCTTCCCATATCTTCACATGACCCCTTGCAAAGTCGTATGGTTTTTCCCCTAATTTTCTTATCATATATGTTTCGTTAAGTGCCAAATTTTCTTTCCCAAGGATGCTCTTTTAATGTAACTTATTTTAGTTAACCATTTATTAGTGTTTATGATGTGCCAGGACTTTATATGTATTATCTCACAATTCTCCCAAGGGCTATAGGTAAACACAATTACTGTTCCTGTTTTCACAGACAAGGAGAGACAGGCACACGGAGATTAAATAACTTGGCTAAGGTTACCCAGCAAAGAGGTGGCAGAGTGAAGATTCAAACCCAAGACTTTTTGACTTCAAGCTTGTACACTGAAACATGACTCACGCCCTTTCTGCAAACTGATATTCAGGCAAGTTGATGATTCTGGTAAGGGGGAAGGAACTAATATTTCTTGAGCATCATGTGGGTACCAGCCACTGTGCCTGACTGGGGACTTTCTCCTCAAACCTTCTCCATAACCCTATATGGTAATTATTGCTAGTGTCACCTGCTCCCATCCCCAAACTGAGGTAAAGAGAAGTTAAGTAACATGCCCAAAGTCACAGATATAGGCAGTGACAATATTAGCCTTCAAACCTATCTGTCTGACTCCAAAACAATAAAACACTGGAGGCCATAGGCATCTGTCTCCCATAAGAAGTGAAGATGTTGCATTGTTTCCTTTGGATTTTGCTAGGTGAGGCATACTTCTGTTTCTCCTCATAAAGGTTAAATCTCTTCCTATCTTAATTTTAAAATAATCCATAATATAGTAGGTTGTTTTAAAATAGTATTCTATAATCAGAAGGACATGTAACAACAATAGTTGTTACATGAAAGCATGCAGAAATTGAAATCTTGTATACTGCTGGTAGGAATGTAAAATGGTGCAATTGCTTTGAAGACCGTATGGCAGTTTCTTTAAAGGTTAAGCATAGAGTTACCACTTGACCCAGTAACTCCACTCATATGTATACCAAATAGAATTGAAAAACAGAATTGAAAAACTATGTCTGTACAAAAGCTTTACACGAATATTCACATAGCGTTATTCATAATAGCCCCAAAGTGAAACGACCCAAATGTCTATCAACTGATGAGTGGATAAACAAAATGTAGTATATTTACACAGTGAAATATTATTTGGCAATAAAAAGGAATGAAGTACTGATATAAGTACAATATGAAATATATATATATATATTTATCCTGAAAACATTATGGTTGGTGAAAGCAGCCAGTCACAAAGGATCACATATTGTATGATTCCACCTATGTGAAATGTCCAGAACAGGAAAATCCATAGATATGAAAAGTAGTTCAATGGTTGCCAGGAGCTGGAAGGGAGAGACGGCTAGAGAGTACAGGTTTCCTTTTGGGGTGATGAAAATGTTCTAAAATTGATTGTGGTGATGACTGAACAACTCTATAAATATACTACAAACCACTGAATTATATATTTTAAATGGATGAATTCTATGGTATGTGAATTACATCTTGATAAAGCTGTTATATATTTACATTAAAAACTGCACCATGAAAAAAACTAATATCATGCACTTGGTAGGCTCTGAAGAAATATCTATTGACTGAATGTACTGAAGTACTTTATGACTATTTTAAAATAATACCAGTTCATTTTACATTCAAAAATGTTTTAGGAGTAGTTTATTTTACAACAATGTTGCATGAAGTGTGCCCTAGACGCAACGGTCTGTGGAATTAAACGGTGATGACTACTGACATCCCAAGAGTACTGAGGTGTCAGCCTCAGTGATGAAAGTTTAGCAACAGCACCACTACGCAGGAAGTCCCCCTCTACACCAACAGGGCCACCGTGGTGAAAGAACTACCTGTGACTTGCTGACAAAGGGGATGCCCCTGAGTGTTAATGGTCTCCCCTAATCCCCATCAAGCCAAGCTCAGACCTGCCGGGAAGCTCTAGTGGGATTCAGGGCTAAAAGTTAACGAAGATGTCACTCAAGTCCTGGAATATGGGGACATAAACAACAACCTTCCTTCTGTATTAGAGAAACTCCTGCGAGCAAGTCCTGGCAGCACTTATCTATTTATGGCCACATTTGAGCTCAGATGGAAGAGTGTGAAAAGAAAAAGATATCAATAAATTCCAGAGTAAAAGTGGAAACCACTATGAGTTGGAGGAGAGGCAACATGAAGTAAATAATTGTCCAAACTTGAGATCTAGCTGAGGAATTAGCCTGACGTGAACGATTAAAGAAAAGCCAAGAAAAAAGTATCCAAGTGCTGAGTGCACTGAAGAAGAAAATGGCAGAGTATTAGTGGATTTAACAGCAAAACAAATGAGCTCAACAAAGAAGCTCTACACGAGTAGATAAAGTCCAGAACCTCGCACTGACTGGACAATTCCTTCAAGGAATGGGTTTCAAGCCTTCCTCCCAGGAGAACAGAAACCTCCCAAAGATACTTTAGAAAGCACACATTTTACAACTCTTGAATTTTACAGTAACAACAACAAAATGAGCCCTGGCTTTGGGAAAAGTTTGTTCTGAGTTCCCTGCATACAGTGGAAGCAGGAATATGGTACAAAACTGGGAAAGACTTATCGGGGTCATAGAGGCTCAAAGATCCCATGCACTGAGCTCTTGACTTCACATCTCCAGGGAGTCACTGCTGTATATTGGAGAGAACTCAATTTAGTCTACAAGAAAGCATTCTGAAATGAAACAAAACATAACTACAAAAATTTAGTGTGTACTCCCTATGTAAAGGATAGCTAAGAGCTTTTGTATATTTTATTTCATTCTATTTCTTAAACAACTCAGACAGATATTTTACAGATGAGGAAGAAACTGTGGCTCAAAGAAATCAAGCAACTTTCCCAAAGTCACACACTAGTAAGTGGCAGGGGAACGATTCAATGCTGGGTCTCTTAACATTACTCGGAGTGTCTTATTTAGATTGTACATGTTAAAATATTCTCTGAGAGTGGTTGACATTTGTCATAGCCAATAAACAACAAAACCAAGAAGGAAAATAATTGTAATAGCTTTCAACTCCTCTTAAACAATTCACAAAGATGAGACCATAACAGAAGCTGTGGTTGATTTTGCCACTTAATCTATGATGATAATAATTCTCAACTATAAATAATTTTCAATCATAAATCTTCCTTTGGGGTTTTGTGGAGCAAATTTTCCAACTGTTTTTTAACCTATCGGGAGTAACAAAGCCATCTGGCTAAGCTCCTATCATTCCTCAATGACTTAAGGTAATAAAAGCTGAAACATCCCTGTACCTTCGGGGAGGGGGTCCCAAGGAAAGGAATCTTTTGCTCTTGGAAACTTATCTGAATCTGTCACCAGTAATGGCAACCACATAGAGAGCCTGCAGGCTGCAAACATTTCAGAAGGAAATTTGGTTTATATCCGTTTGAGATATTAGCTCCCTAGTTACCAAGTGGAAATAATACTGGACAGAAAGTCAAGGCCCCGTGTTCTAAGCTACCCTCTACCACTCACTAGGTGGGTAACCTTCACCAAGGGCTTTCCTCTCTCCTGGCTACAGGGTAGTCATCTATAAAGTATAAGGCTCAGGTTACATCATACCTAAAGACTCTCTAGCTCTAGGACACTTTGGCACCCGCTCAGCCTGATAATCTGTTTTGGTGATTTCTTTACAAGTACCTGTTTCTTGGTCACGGTGCCATCCACAGGGTCCACGTATTCAAAGCTGTCTGTCTTCGCTACACTGTAGACATGGCTTCCCACAGCAAACTGCTGGCCGATGAAGGACTTGTCTGTGACCAGGGCCTCCAGGTCCCTCATGATGTAATATGTCGTCTTAGGCTCTAGCCCCTCATAGTCAAACCTAGTGAGGGAAGGCAAGACACAGCATGAACACAAACCTAATTAGAGAACCAGCAATTAGGTGGACCTCTCAAGGTCATCTAATCATTGGTTTTGTTTTCATGGAAGAACTGCAAAGAAAAGTACTCCCAACTGGTCTCCCACTTCCACCTGGCTCTTACAAACCATGCCCCACACAGCAACCAGAATGATCTTGTAAAAATTAAGTCATGTCACTCTTTTCCTTTAAATTCCTCCAATAGCACCCATCCCACTGAGAACAAGACTCAAAACCTTAACTACAGTCTATAAGGCACTGTGGGATCTGACCATGCTCACCCATAGACTTGACTTGGTCCTTCTTTCACCCTTGTTCACTGTGCTCTAGCCACACTGGCCTCCCCAGTCCTCAGAGATACTCCACCTTTTACTGCCTCTGGGATTTTGCTCTTGCTGTCTGTTCCTTTACCTGATGTATTCTTCCCCTGCTACTCAAATAGCTGGTGTATTCCTTTAGTTTTCAAACTCGGTGTCACCCCAGAAAATGACCTCTGACCATCCATCTAAGATGATAGCTTCCCTCTATCTCACCCCTCTCTCATCATCCTTTATATTTTCCTTTGGTAGTTACCTCAATCTGTATTTATCTTGTTCGTATATTTGTTTACTTATGTCTTGTCTGTCTTTGCCCACAAGAACCATAAGCTCCATAAAGGCAGAGTCCTTACCTGTTTCGTTCTCTGCTGCTTCTGGCAAGTAGCAAATGTTTTGTGGGTAGTGGAATGAAAGATGGCAGGAAGGGAAAGAAGGAAGGAAAGGGAGGAATCAAGGGAGGCAAAGAGAGAAAGAGGAAAGGAGTACAACGTACCATAAAACTCTATTGGAAACTGGAAAGAAATATCACCCTTGTTCCATTTAAAAGAAAGTCCTCCTAGCCAAGATCATCAAATGTTAACAATGAGGCTAAGAGGTGATTAGCAGGGGGAAAAAAGTCTAAAGTTAACAGCTATCTCTTTTGTTATTGTAGGGTTTAAATACTATAATGCATACCAAATAGCTGGCACAGCGCCAGACATCAGTGCTTAAAACTGTTACTTTTGTTCTTAGTCACTACCATAAAGAAACTGCAGGATTTTCCCCAATGTCAAATAGATTTGACCCAGACTTAATGGTACACCCAAGGGGGTCTGTTTAAGAAGCATACCCTCAGAGCGGCAGCTGTGCTCTAGTGGCTGGGGTCTCACATTTGGGCTCCCTGTAACACAGGGAAAGAATGTGAGTTCTCAGAAAAAAGGAATATCTAAATAGTTGTTTCTGCTTTTTTTCCACCCGAGATCTTTCGAGATTTCCGGTAAACATCAACATATTACCTAAAATGGAGAACATGAAATGATACCGTGTCTAGCAATGGGTCCCCTAAACCTATATCCCTTCCTTTTATTCTTTTCTTCCTACTCAAGCTACGTCCTCCCCAGCCTCAGAAACAGAACAATAGAGAACTCACAACACTCGTTCTCATCAGTGTATGTGTTCTGAACCTAGATTCTCTTTAAAGATAGTCTTTTTGGGAAGGTAAATACTCAACCAAGCAGAAGGGGGCAGAATGATGGGATAAGAGAGTCTAGTAGAAGGTCAAGAGGCATTGAAAGAGATTCAGAAGTTGAGAAAATCCATTAATGTGATAGATCACATTCAATCTACGGCTGAGGTCATCGGACCAACCTGCCGAAATGCTCATCTTCATTCATAAACAGGTCCTAGCACTCCAGTTCCCTCACTACGACCCCTTCTGACTACCACTACTAACAACTTATTTTTGAGAGAAGAAACGTTTAAATGGAGAATTTCTTCTGGAGTCCACTCATACAAGGAAAATTATTATCTGGGTTCTCAGATTCATCTTTGGGCTCAGTATTAATTAAACCAAAATTGTTTTATTATCTCCTCTCCACTCAAAAACAGGCTGGAAATCATTTTATTTCATAAGCACCTTTCAACCTTCATTTGCTGGAGGCTGAAGGAAATGTTTATCTGTCATTCTATCTTTCCTCTCTCTATTTTTCCTTATCTCTATGATCTTTTTGGACAGAAATCTGAAACATAATTAAATATTCAACAGAATTTAAATCTCCATTGCATTATATTCTCTAATATGGTATTTGTTATGAAAAAAGTAATTATCATGTAAACTCCTGGCTACAAAAAATGAACTATATTATAAATATACATATCATAACACCACATCTTCAAAACACTGGCAGAAAGCTGGATAATCATTCCACAATTATGAGAAACACATCCCAACTCAAAGCCATCTCACTGAGCCAGAGGTTGACAATCGTAATATATTTTATCAGGCTGGACTTTTTATGCACTAGAAGGATTTGCTTTATGCAATAGAAGGATTTGCTGTACCAATAGCCCTTCAACATGCCAAAAAAGCCCACAAGAAGCAGGATTTTTTTTTTGACACTTGTTAGAAATACTAGTGAGTAAAGAGTTCCCACGTGCCTTGAGAGTCCTCATTTTATGATATAATAAATAATTTGAGGTAGTTCGTAGGCTCTCATATCCTCAGCCTTCTTGACTAAACCAAAAATGTTATGGTGTTGTCTACATTTCCCAGAGCATTGCAGTCTTTTTTTATTTTAACGAGTACAATCACAGGCTTCCTTATTCTGTGATGTTTATCTAAGTAAATGACCTCTTAAGAGAAGAAGCAATCACCTTATAAGGGAACTCTAAAGCCTTCTTTCTGTCCTCAAGCTTTTGAAACACAACCAAATATCCAAAGTAGTTAGCTATTCAAAAGCAAAGCAAATGAGCCACAATCTCTGTTTTTAATACACAGAGAGCCTCTAGAACTGCCCAGGGATTCCCTTGCCCCATTCCCACCCTCTTTCCCAACATCCTTTCCTGCCACTTTACCCCCCAAACCATGGCTTGGTACTAGGGACATATACCTAGCATTTCTAGGTACACACCTCTACCAGGCAACCATACAGCCAAAAGACTCTGCTCCTTCATTTACTTCAACAACAGAAAAGTGATAGAGACTCCCAACCCTAAGCTCTGAGCCACTGACCTTTCCCCTTCTTCCTTCCCAGGGTAATAGTTCCCTTTTCTGTACCTCCTTTCATGGACACAAAATTTTAGCAAAATGTGGGGCTCCTGAATCACATGGCCCCTTCAGAAGGTGCCAGCTTGGGCATCTTGGACATTGTTTGGACCATTAGCTGGGAGGCAAAAGATAAGGGAGAGGATTAAAAAACCACCCTGACCTGTTGCAGCTGATGTCTCTGCTCCACCCCCCTGCTCCCTTCCTTGATAATTATGGATGGAGAACCAATAAAGAAAGCTCCTGGTTTGACTGCACAACGCTTATGTGCACCAAAGAACCTTTTAAGGCTCGGCAGTCCAGATACCCTCTTGAGATGTCTTCCTGCCTTATAGGCACTGATGGAAAGATTACAGAGAGATGTCACTTGGGTTGGAGAAATTTATACCCTCCATTTTAGTAGTCCTTGATACTACCTCCCTACCACCTATCAGGAGTTACCTGGCTCCAGCCTCTGTGTTCCTCAGATCTTCTTGAAAAATGCTTCCTTCTTGATGTTCTAGCCCACCTGTTTTAGGAACCTTCTCTAAAAGTAATGCCCCAGGGTCCATACAGAGACCTTTATCCTTCTCACCTGCAATAGTAGTGGCGGCCAAATTTGGCCCAGTGATCTCGGACAATTTCCTCCACACTCTGCTTACGAGCAGCGATAATGGAGAGCCAGACTAAGACAGCCCAAAGGCCATCTTTCTCCCGGAGGTGATCAGAGCCTAAAAGAGAAAAAAATAGTCTGCTGAATTTGTTCCTGGGGGAAAAGTGAAAGCTAAATGAACTATGAAGGCCAGTTAGCAATTGAGTATTATATTGAAATGGCTGGATGTATTATTCATTGTGTTAAATATATGTCCCATAATAAACTTAAATTTCCAAAAATAAGTAACAGAAATTCAGATAACATAAAACAATATCAAAAAATAAAATAAAATCCTGTAAATTTTTGAAAGGATCAAAGAGCCAAGTTGTCGTCACATTTGTCCAATGGTATCATTCATTCAGTAGATATTTGGTGATCCTTACAATATACCAAGCACCGATCTAGGTACTAGAGATGCAGCAGTGAACAAGATAGCACTTTACTCATAAAGCTTGAATTCAAGTAGGTGGAGACAGACAACAACAGAAAAGTAAACAAATTAAAGAACAAGATGCATCAAATAAGGACAAGAGCTATAAAAATAATTAACTGGGTGATGATGTCACAGAGTGTGACAGCAACTAAGATGGCTTTACCTAGAGTAATGTAGTTTATTTAGAAAAAGGCTGAATGGTGCCCCTCCCAAAAGATATGTCCACCCAGAACCTGTGAATGTGACCTTATTGGGGGAAACAGGCTTGAAAATATAATTAAGTTAAAGATCTTGAGATGAGATCATCCTGGATTATCCAGGTGGGCCCTAAATCCAATGCCAAATGTTCTTAGAAGAAGAGGAGACAAAGAGAGGAGAAATACAAAGGACTATTACAAAGGACTACGGTTATGTGAAGACAGAGGCAGAGACTGAAATTATGCTGCCACAAGCCAAATAAAGCATGGAGCCACCAGAAATTGAAAGAGGCAGGGAAGGATTTTCCCCTAGAGCCTTCAGAGAAAGCATGGTCCCACCAACACCTCGATTGTGAATTTCTGTCTCCAGAACTAAGAAAGAATGCATTTCTGTTATTTTAAGCCACCCAGGTTGTGATAATTTGTTCTGGAAACCTTAGGAAACTAATACAGGTAGTCAGGGTCAGCCCCACCAAAGTGATGACATGAGTTTACACCTGAGAAGAAGGAGTCAGCCATGCCAAAATCTAGGGACAAAACATTCCAACTGGAGGGGCTGCAACCACAAAGTTCTTGAGGCAGGAATAAACTGGAAAGTTTAATTCTACAGCTATTTATATAGAAAGAGATGCAGTTCATATTGTGGCATTCACAATAATAAAGAGTACAGTCTAAACAGGTCACTTCCTGTATAAAATGAACCCTGAAGAATGTGTTATAGGCCCATTTAAGCATCTGTCTACTGGTCATTTGTAAGCTCTCTGACACGAATAAAGCCCTGAATACAAAGAAACATGTTATAGTATAAGAAACATGGTATAATGGGAAAAACATGAGGAAGGTTTTGGAATTAGCATTTTAAACCAAACTCTGATACTTCCCAGGTTTGAGAACTTATTGCAAAGATATTACTCTTTATGAGCTCCAACTCATCATCTACAAAATGGGGACACCATCACCAATCTTGTGGGCTTATTGTATCAATTTAATCAAATTCAGAGGGCAAGCTCTTGAGTCAAATTGTTCATGTTCAAATTCTGGCTCAGCTACTTACCTTTGTGTGACTTGCTGTCCTCACCTGCAACATAGGGACAATAATGTCCCCTACCCCTTGGGGTTACTGTTAGAATGAAGCGACTAAATATGCCTTGGTATGGAGAACAGTGACTGGGATGTCACAAGTGGCTGCTGTTGATCTTGTTGGTGATTCACATAAAGCACCAACATGGTGCTGATTTCTCAATACATACCTTGAGGCAAAATGTTCTCAGTTATTCATATAATTTTATCCTCTGTCTCTTGCAACAGCAAAGTCTTAAGAAGTGGACTGGAATGAGGGGGTGGACCATTTCTTCTTGCAATAGAGCAATAAGAGTGGATAACAGTACTCTTGGGTTTGAGGGCCATGAAACATACATAGAAAATCAAAAAAGGAGACCTAATGTCACAGAGCTGTTTAAACACTGAAAATGCTGAAACAATACCTTAAGCTAAACATCTTTGATAACTTCTCGGTGAAGCTAGGGACAATTTACCCTTCTTGTTACACTTATAGTGCTAAGTGTTAAATGTTTTTCCTCAAAAAGGAAAACAGAAACTCGAGAGGGCAGCAAAGATATTTAAAAGGAAGGATCAGTCTTTAGTTCTTCCTACACTGGTCAATGGTCTGCTGATGACACTTTTAGATGTCTGGCTCCAGCTTCCTTTAGATTAAGAGGACCCTGAGTTTTAATCATCACACTATGGAGTGACTCTAGTCTCATCCAGTGAACTCTTCACACTGCTACAAGGAAGGAGTTTGGGAAATGCTGGGTTAGCTCGATGGCCAAGGCCAAAAAAAAAAAAAAAATCTAGGAAACCCTGCCCAGTGGAATAATTTTAAAACCTTTTGTCCTTTTATAGCTGAAAAATCATTTTTATTTACTGGCTAGAGAAAAATACCCTTTTGTTCTAAAACATGGGCTTTGCATGCCTTGCATCTCCAGCTGGACTACATTCTGGAGATAAAGCCATTAGATGCTATTAACTCTGAGAGATTAGATGTCATAATTGAGAGAGACATAAAGTTCTTTTAGCAGGATTAAAAAGAAAAAAGACACCTTAACCATTTGAAGCCAACTGCACAGTAGATTGTGAGTTGGCTTGGATATACTTGCCAATAAGTTAAAAATTTGCCAACATTCGTAAGGGGCTGATGATCAAGTAAAATTAACTATGTTCTTTACAACTCACTGAGGTGGCGATACAGATATTGATGATATTGAATTACACAGATGTTTCTACTGGATGCTGTCACAGTGTGCTTTAGAGGGGATATACACCAAACTGTTATCTCTGAAATGGTAGAATCACAAGTGTTTTTCTTCTCCTTTGGGCATATTTCCACAATAAATGTGTACTATTTTCATAAGAAAAAATAAATCTTTAAGTCATCAATAGTGTGCAGAAATTCAAATTTGAAAACATTAAATTCCATTTACCAAGAGCTAGTTGCGATATTAAAGAGATCACTACCACTTATGAACAGGTGATGAACCTTGAACCTATTAATCGTCCCATTTCTTAGGTTGAATAATAGCTTTTTAGAGCATAGAGATTGAATATGACCCCTACCACCACCACCACCCCCTCTTGTGGGGTTCACAGATGTTAGGATTAGGATCAAGCATGTCCTGTAAGGAACCATTACTTGACAGAAAGTGAGGATGAGGAAAAAAGAAGGTTCACTGCTAAAATGTCAATGTTGGCCTTAGGGGAAGCTGGGCTTGGGGGACAGGGTCTGCTTGCCTCACAGAGAGACCCCACTAGCAAAGACAAAGCTTCAGATTCACATCAAAAGCCCCCATGGCCATTTCTACTGTTGCTGACCATGTACAGAGAGAGGCTCACCCAGCCTGCATTTCATTCCCTTTTCTCCCAGGCAGTATCCCAACATTCTGTGAACAGTTAAGAGTTGTTTGGGGAAAAAAGCAAATAAGATATTTCTTTACTTCCTCATTTCACATGTTCACATCTGCTCTGTCTTTAAAACATGAGTTCCCAGGAAAAATTCTTCTACTGTAACATTTATATGCATTATTGCCAGTACAAGTTTTTAATAGACTATTTTTTAGAGCAGTTTTAGCTTCCCAACAAAATTGAACAGAAAGTACAGGAGTTAGCATATACTCCCTGTCCCCAAGCAAATACTATCTCCCACTACTGTCAATGTCCACCTCCACAGTGAGACATTTCTTATAACTGATGGACCTACACTGAAACGTCATTATCATTCAAAGTCCATCGTTTATGTTAGGGCTTACCCTTGGTGTTGTATATTCTATGGGTTTTGACAAATGTAGAATGACATGTACCCATCATTACAGTATCATACAGGATAGTTTTACTGCCCTAAAAATCCTCTGTGTCTGGCCTATTCATCCCTCTGTTCCTCCTAGGCCCTGGCAACCATTAATTCTTCTTCTTTTTTTTTTTTTTTTACCATTCTTAATAGTTTTGACTTTTCCAGATTATTATATAGTTAGACTCATACAGCATGTAGCCTTTTCAGTTTCATGTCTTTCACTTAGTCATATGTAATTAAAGTTCCTTCATGAATTTTCATGGCTTCATAGCTCACTTCTTTTTAGCACTGAATAAGACCAGTACAACTTCTGAAGCTTGCTTCCTCTATTCAGAGCTTGCCACCTGGTTGAGAACGCTGCAAGGAGCTTTCACTCATATTCCCAAAGTCTGTAAGCACCACTCACCTTACCTTCCTCCATCCAGGCCAGCCCAGCTGGAAACTTATTCATACGTATTCTGAAAAGTCCATAGAAGCAGCTGTTCCCACCCAGATAGATACCAGAAGGAGGGTGTTCAGCTCTTCCCTGCCATAAACTCCAGCAAAAATTGGTACAAAAAAGAGAGTCTATTTTTTTCTCATCAGAAATATCTCTATTCCCCTTCACCCAAATTAGACTTTGAATTTTCTCAAGCTTTCAAACCATATTACTTTGAACAAGGCAGTACACCACTAAGTATAGTGACCTCACGAAAGAAAGGGGGAAAATAAAGAAAGTACTTAATCATCTAAAGAAATTTTCTTCAAATGGAAATCCCAGCGTGAGCAAATTAACTCAATCGAACATCACAAATGTTACTAACAGATCAAGACATCCCGGCAGACATTCAGATCAGGAAGGTCTGAATCTGTCAATTAGGAAAATATAAACCATTGTGCACCTGTTGCTGACTCCAAGCTCGAACACAGGTTAGTGATTCTCAATACATGCTGCATATTAGCATCACCTAAGGAACTTATAAAAAGGTATCAATGCTCAGAAGTTCTGGTAATGGAACCCAGGAATCAGTATATATATATTTTTAAGTTCTTTGGGTGATTCTCACAGGGAGTCAGGGTTGACAACCACTGTTTTAGGTGAAAGGCACTCAAAATAGTCCTAT